TTACCCTTATTTTCCTCCACTTTCTTAAACATGTACCATTTTGCTTTAAAACACGACAGGGCGATAAATATATGTTATCCACATCAAATAATGGTGTCGTGTTCGATAAGAAGTCTTTCCGGAGACGTTGCTTATATTTTTCGTTCTTGCCCCTATTTACCCTTATTTTCCTCCACTTTCTTAAACGTGTACCATTTTTCTTTAAACACGATGGGGCGATAAATATATATTATCTACATCAAATAATGGCGTCGAGTTCGAAAACAAGTCTTTCTGGAGACGTTGCTTTAATTTTTCGTTCATGCCCTTATTTACCCTTATTTTCCTCGATTTCTAAAACCTGTACCATTTTGCTTCAAAACACGATGGGGCGATAAATATATGTTATCCACATCAAATAATGGTGTCGTGTTCGAAAACAAGTCTTTCCTGAGACGTTGCTTAAATTTTTCGTTCATACCCCTATTTACCCTTATTTTCCTCGACTTCTAAAAGTTGTACCATTTTGCTTTAAAACACGATGGGGTAATAAAAATATGTTATCCACATCAAATAATGGTGTCGTGTTCGAAAACAAGTCTTTCCGGAGACGTTGCTTACATTTTTCGTACTTGCCCCAATTTACCATTATTTTCCTCGACTTTTTTAAACGTGTACCATTTTGCTTGAAACACGATAGGGCAATAAATATAGGGTCAAAATCTTTTTCACCCCGTTATAAATCTATTCTTTCTTTTTCACACCGCCCCATCAAATAACTTCTTTTACACCCCAAAACTCACGAAATGCTATGCAATATTACACTCGCATGTCCAAAGGAACCAGCGCATATCCAATCGGCCGCATAATTTATGACTATGCATAAACATTTCGCATTTTTTTAATCGCATATCCACATCAAACGCATAATTTATAAATGTGCGAACATCTTTCGCATTTTTAGTAATCGCATATACAAATCGATTTGCAGCATAATTTACAATGATTATGCGCCTTCTTTTCGTAGGGCTACGTTAACCTTGCAAATTTATGACTGCGAAAATATTTGGCATCTAATTCGCATAGTTTGTCGAATACGCATTTTCTGGTAATTGCATATCCAAGTCAATCGCATAATTTACTAAATATGCGAAACAATTTCGCATATATCCTCCGGATAATTGACAATTATGTGACAATTTTTTCGCTCGCATATTTAAGAATCGCATAACCAAATTGAATAAAGCATATTTTTTTTTGACGATTATGCGCCATTTTTTTCGCAGGGCCATATCGTCCTGGCAATTTTACGACTATTAGGAATTCATTCGCAGATCTTTCGCATAGGTTGCGCACCTCATTAATTGACTGCTTTTTCACAGGTGAGGATTTGGTCTCTACATTTATCAAGCAGGCAACAAAACAGTGATCTCTAACAATTTAACGCCTGCACCATTCATCTACTGCATTTTTCTGTTTTTTTTTTTTTTTTGTTCTTTTTGTTGTTCACTTATTTGAATGGCTAGCAACCGTGTTAGAGTATTGGGGCACTTTTGTGGTTCGTTTTGCGAGGGTTCATATCTTGGTGGAGTGGCAGAGCTGATGAGAATAAATTACGGCCGACAAATATATTCTGAAGTAGTTTCTCGTGCTCAAGAATTATTGAAGGCCGATCCATGTAATTTTGAGTACATATTGTGGGCAGTATTTGATGGAAGGGAACGAGTTGTGAAGATGAAAATCGAATCCAGTGAGGATATCTTAGAGCTGATTGAAGAACAAAGAAATCCCAACATTTACGTGGAGTTGGAGAAGCGAGTAAATGTAGGGGTTTCAGGGGCGGCGAAACAAAGCTTCACGCAAATGATGGCGTCCCAAGGTCTATTTCTGAGTTCTTTTGCTGTTGGTAATTCTGCATTTTCCCACGAGGCCCCATATTCACATCAAGCAGACCCTAGTTCATTTACACATACTGGATATCCTCGGGGCGCTGATGATCAAACCTCGGGTTGTTCGAACCAAGCAGGTCATTTTCGTGACGATGACAATAATGATGACCAAACAAACACACACAATGGTGAGTCAGGCAACGAAGACAAAGAGGTCAATAAGAAGCAAATGTTCGTAATCCAGGTACAATTGTCGAAATCGGAATTGGGTTGACCTGCACACATCACACATGTCCCATAATAATTGCACAATTGAGTTGATTGCGCGTTTCACATAACATGTCCCCATAATAATCGTACAATTAGGTTGATTGTGCGATTCGCATAACATGTAACATAATAGTCGCACAATTAGGTTCATTGTGCGATTCGCATAACATGTCCCATAATAATCGTACAATTGGGTTGATTGTGCGATTCCCATATCATATCCCATAATAATCGCACAACTGGGATGATTCACCTAGTCTTCAACCGCATAATTAACGAATCGTATATCCAAATCGAAAGCCGCATAATTTACGACTATCCGCCATTTTTTTCGCATATCCATATGGACCGCATTGATTGATTGTCTGCACTGCATATCAAAATCGAAAGTGCTTCGCATATTATTCGCATACGTTAAGCCACTTATTAAAAATTATAACAATGATGTTCAAGCTCAATCTTAGATAAAATGTTTGAAAGTGAGTTAAGTTAAGGTATATAGATAAATATGGTTTATTGTGAAATTGATTGACAATAGAAGAAAGCCACTTATTAAAAAAAATATAATAATGTTCAAGCTCAATCTTAGATAAAATGTTTGAAAGTGAGTTAAGTTAAGGTATATAGATAATATGGTTTATTGTGAAATTGATTGACAATAGAAGAAAGCGACTTATTAAAAATTATAACAATGATGTTCAAGCTCAATCTTAGATAAAATGTTTAAAAGTGAGTTAAGGTATATAGATAAATATGGTTTATTGTGAAGTTTATTGACAATAGAAGAAAGCCACTTATTAAAAAAAATATAATAATGTTCAAGTTCAATCTTAGATAAAATGTTTGAAAGTGAGTTAAGTTAAGATATATAGATAAATATGGTTTATTGTGAAATTGATAACAATGTTCATTTATATATTTTGAACGGTAATTTAAAGAATAAATTACATTATATCATAAGATATAATATTGGTTTAGGGTTTAGGGTTTAGGGTTTAGGGTATGTGAAGGGGGTATGCGAAATCGCATACCACCTTCGCATTTCTGTTTCATAGTTATTTTTTATTTCTTTCATCTTTCAGTTATGCGAAGGGGGTATGCGAATTGCCGCATATTGCTCGCATACTACCCCCTTTCGCACTTCTACTCGAAAGTTTATTTTTTATTTCTTTCATCTTTCAGTTATGCGAGGGGGTATGCGAATTGCCTCATATTGCTCGCATACTACCCCCTTTCGCACATCTACTCGAAAGTTTATTTTTTATTTATTTCACCTTTCAGTTATGCGAGGGGGTATGCGAATTGCCGCATATTGCTCGCATACTACCCCCTTTCGCACATCTACTCGAAAGTTTATTTTTTATTTCTTTCACCTTTCAGTTATGCGATGGGTTATGCGAATCGCCGCATATTGCTCGCATACATACTACCCCTTTCGCATATCATCTTTCATTTATGCGAGGGGGTATGCGAATTACCGTATATTGCACGCATACCCCCTTCGCACTTTTACTCGAAAGTTTATTTTTTGTTTCTTTCATCTTTCATTGTTTAATTTAGTTTAATTTTTTTCTTTCAGGTATGAGAATATATTCTCAATTTCTCATACATACATAGTAAAAGCAACAACAAATGCAACAAACATCAAACATGTAATAAAATGCAAAAAAAAAAAAAATGTATTACATGGTAATTGTGTTTCCATCTGTACTAAACTAAAAAATTTCCATAGCCATTTTGCGCCTCACTTCCTCTGCCCACTTCTTGGTAGACTTGGCTCTGGTAACCTTCCCCGTTGTTAGCAGTGCTCGCACCATCTCCACAACGCATACACCACAAGAAATTCTGTCATGTTGCAACGTAGTATTGTTGGGCTCCATGAATGTCAATTCGAACTTTTCTCTCACTCCCTCTACTCCCGCCGCATACATGGCAATCAGTGGAATTCTTTTTTGGATCTTTTGGAGTCCTTTGACGCGTGATTCGCGAATGTGCTCGTTCTTTTTTTGATACGTATGCCGTAGGGGGTCAAACACACGTATCATCCCCTCGCGTAAAAAGATCTGGACAGCCACGTAGTGGCCGGTCAAATTCACTACTCCAATAATCTATTGCATTGAGTTGTGAGAAATTCACTAATTTTTTTAGGAAAGATTGCAATATTAATTAATTCATATATGTTATCCACATCTAATAATGGTGCCGTGTTCGAAAACAAGTCATTCCAAAGACGTTGCTTATATTTTTCGTACTTGCCTTTATTTACCCTTATTTTCGAAATATTTGTGCAGTATTCGAAAACAATTTTTTCCAGAGACGTTGCTTACATTTTTCGTTCTTGCCCCTATTTACCCTCATTTTCCTCGACTTTCTTTAACATGTACCATTTTGCTTCAAAACACGATCGGGCGATAAATATATGTTATCCACATCAAATAATGGTGCGTGTTCGAAAACAAGTCTTTCCGGAGACGTTGGTTACATTTTTAGTTCTTGCCCCTATTTACCCTTATTTTCCTCGACTTTCTTAAACTGTACCATTTTGTTTCAAAACACGATGGGGCGATAAATATATGTTATCCACATCAAATAATGGTGTCATGTTGGAAAACAAGTCTTTCTGTAGACGTTGCTTACATTTTTCGTACTTGCCCCTATTTACCTTTATTTTCCTCGACTTTCTTAAGCGTGTACCATTTTGCTTTAAAACATGATAGTGCGATAAATATATGTTATCCACAACAAATAATGGTGTCGTGTTCGAAAACAAGTCTTTCCGGAGACGTTGCTTACATTTTTCGTACTTGTCCCTATTTACCCTTATTTTCCTCGATTTTCTTAAATGTGTACCATTTTGATTCAAAACACGATGGGACGATAAATATATGTTATCCACATCAAATAATGGTGCAGTATTCGAAAACAAGTTTTTCTGGAGACGTTGCTTACTTTTTTCGTTCTTACCCCTATTTACCCTCATTTTCCTCGACTTTCTTAAACATGTACCATTTTGCTTCAAAACACGATGGGGCGATAAATATATGTTATCCACATCAAATAATGGTGCCGTGTTCAAAAACAAGTCTCTGGAGACGTTGCTTAAATTTTTCGTTCATGCTCCGATTTACCCTTATTTTCCTCGACTTCTAAAACCTGTACCATTATTCTTCAAAACACGATGGGGCGATAAAAATATATTATCCACATCAAATAATGGTGCCGTGTTCGGAAACAAGTCTTTCCGGAGACGTTGCTTACATTTTTCGTAATTGCCCCTATTTACCCTTATTTTCCTCGACTTTCTTAAACGTGTACATTTTGCTTTAAAACACCATGGGACAATAAATATATGTTATCGACATCAAATTTTGGTGTCATGTTCGAAAACAAGTCTTTCTGGAGACGTTGCTTAAATTTTTCGTTCATGCCCCTATTTACCCTTATTTTCCTCGACTACTAAAACCTGTACCATTTTGCTTCAAAACACGATGGGGCGATAAATATATGTTATCCACATCAAATAATGGTGCCGTGTTCGAAAACAAGTCTTTCCGGAGACGTTGCTT